CGTTCTTTTTGTGATCGCGTTGGTGAGACAGGGCATGGCTTTGCAGAGCAGTGGATGTGAAGAGAGCTGCGCTGAAAATAAAACTGGTGATGATAATTAATGAGAAGGGGGAAGAGAAGAATGCGGACGCTACATGTTCTGACCGCTCAGATTTACATCGTCAATGAGTAAATTTATCTGAAGCACTGAACGAAGAGAATACAAATTCAACCCCCCAAACAGTGAATTCAAGGGACAGGTGAAATACCGTCAAGATTCATGCAAGGCAGCGGGCACACACCTCTCACTCAGAAATGGAATAAACATGAATCGCAGTGTTTATACTAATAAAACCACAGTTAACACGCAATGGGGAAAAATTAAATAATACAACACCCTAATAAAAATTATGAATGCATAAGCGAGCTGCTCGGAAACATGTTTTATGCTCAGGGGTCACCCAGTTATCATGCGTCTGCACACACTGCGCAGTCGCTTGGGGGAAGCAGTGAATCGGGCCCTGCTCGTTTTTAATTTATAAACCGAGATAGAATTATGACTTAGCGACGTAACAATTTATCAATTCTTTTTGTGTTTCCATTCCTCCCAGTCCAATTTCCCGTAGGGATGGAGACGTGTCACACAGAGGAAGATTTCTCATACTCGTTCGGTGGTGAACACAATAATAATTAAGACAGGCCGCCGCCGGGCTACATGTTTTTAGCAAAAAAGAAACACTCCCCCAACGTCCGCAGTGAACTGTAGTTTCTATTATAAACATATTGCACTTCAGCCAATTAGGCAGCATCAGTAAAAGTAGATACATATTTTGTCCGAAAGTTTTCCATCCTTGTCACCAAACTCTGCTGTAAAATTAAAAATGCAGCAGAATGCAATTCAAGTTTGCGGTAAAACCTTGTAGTGAGAGTATTCTGTCAGGGGCTGTTGCCACTCATCTCCATTACAAAAAAACCCACTTAAAACACATGCCTTTCTTAATTTTTTTTCAGGAAAGACTAAAAGTTATTTGACTAGGATGAAGGGAGATTTCCATGAGCCTGAATCAAGTGGGACACATTAGCTTTGAAGAAAAAAGTTACGAGAAAAAATTTTGACATGGCGCAATTAAATTAAAAGTAAGTGTGAACGATAAGGCAATTATTATACCGCATGACTGCCGCGTATTCAACTATCATCTCGATTTTTACGTCCCTTTTTTCGGTCTTAAAACGTTTTAACCACCCTCAGACGCCAGAAACTGGCATCAAATGGTGAATTTGTTAAACCTAAAAAAATTTTGCTAAACGTAATGATGAACGTACATGTCAAATGTTATTACATATTTCCCCCCTGCTTTGTTGTTTTTTCCTCCAACGGGCCCAGCAGCATCAGGTTGACAACACTACGGCACGCGTGTGCATACCAATAAACACAGTTCATCAACCAAGCCTGCCGCTGTGTTCCCGAGGGGGTCTTGGGCCCTAATGCGACCGCTTATCTTCAAGCCCTTGAAAACCACTCCATTAGCCAGGCTCCACGCTCCTAGACTCCGAAGCCCCATTTTGTTTTGCCTCCAAGGCCATAATGACACTCCAATGCTGCATTTGAATCTCAGTTTTGTGCTTCAGAATAATGGTGGAAAGAGAGAGCCGGACAGAATCGTAACATTACCAAAACAAAACAAATTGAAGTATGTAACTGGCAATTGGCAGATTACCACGGTTATCAGGAGATGCACTTCAACGTACTCTCAATTCTTTTCTTAGAATCCTATCACCTCAGTCGCAGACTGATGGCTACCAAAATTAGCCTGAGAGGGATCACGGCCTCTGAGTGTTCTCGAGATTGTGATGATGCATGCCTGCGAGGAGGGGACGGGGGTGGTGGGGTCGGTGGATCGTGCGGAGGCAATCATGTAAGACAAAGTGGCTTGTTGATGGCAGTACAGCAAATAGGTTAACCATTCTCAAGCTTTTCGAAAACAATCCCCGGACACGTGTGGCTTTTCGACAGACATAGGGCATACCAGATTCATACCCGAGTGTACAAAAAAACAGTTGAGAACTCCAAGGAAAATGTATCGAGACTCTGTGATGTTTTCATGTATCTACAGAAACTATTACAAGTCTTGCCTAATGCAGTAAAATGTAATGCCTAAAATAATGACCTCCACCAAGTATTTCTTTTGATAATGCTGCTAAATGGCTGCGCTACTTTTTATGATCAAAATCGCATTCCGAGTTGGTTTAAGTGCCTCAATCATAACATGATTTTTGGCTCCAAGCTATCCACATCTCAGGAAAGGTCTCTTTCGCCACCTCGTGGCCACATTCCATCATCATCATTAGAAACGCATAGTCGACGAAGTTCCGTTGCCGCCAATCAGAATGTCAACGTTTCACCGCATTGTAGGCGGCCTCCTCCAAGATTAGACCGAGGCCACATTTGGTGGCTTCATATTCATCATTGTCATCACCACCACCACGAGCCACTGCCTGGCCACTGCCGGATAGAGGGAGCGCCTTTGGCTGACATTCCATCTCTGGTCTCGTTCTATCGTCATGATACCTTAAATAGCAATGTATCCTGGCCAAATCCACTTGAGTTTTCTCATCGAGAAACAGGTTCAACCGGTGCAAACTACCAGCCATGACAAGTATCAAAAACATGGGGGGATTGATAGCGACAAGAGGAACAAAAGCAGGCCATACTTCACCACGTTGGTCAGTGCTGCTTGCTGGAGGCAGGGCAGGGAGTTTATACTTTGGAGCAGTTCAAATGATTTTGCCGCACGGTTCGCTGCTGCTCACAATGTAGTCTCGCAGCCATAAACATTGGTCTTGTCATACGAAGATCCCCCGTATAGCCTCAACAGACTTGTTGGGGCAAGTGCTGTAAGCGAGCACCTATGAAGGCCAAAACGGCACACGAGGGGGTGGGTGGCGAGCATCACGCCCGGCCGCCTTTGTCTCCCTCATGGGGACGTTTACACACCGCAAAAAGTAATCATTTGAGGCCGAGTTGACGTAGAGGGGGCCCAGAACCGGTTCAGATAATCGTCACTGGTTTTGACCGTGAGCTGGAATCGAACTCGGGTCGCCGGGGTTCGTAGCGCAGCGCGCTAACCGCTACGCCACCGCTCCCATTGTTATATACACACACACAAGACACATTTTAGTTCATTTAAAGCAGGGGCGGGGAACCTTTTTTCTGCCAAGGGCTATTTGGATATGTATAACATCATTCGCGGGCCATACAAAATGATCAACTTAAAAATTAGCCTGTTATATTTGGTCAAACATTTAATTAATTCACCCCTAATTTGATGGCTGGAACTGCTTCTCTTTGGTGAGGCGTGTGATGTTAGCTGGTATAGATTTATTGAATTTCGAGTTCCGCCTGCGGTTGCCTTGGCAGGGCCACACCAAATGATTTCGTGGGCCTCATACGGCCAGCGGGCTTGGACGTTCCCCACCCCTGATCTAAAGGATTGTTCTTGATAGACCGTCTGTTGAGTTGATGCTGTTTCGCACGGTGGTCGCTCAGCCATGCACGACGCAGGCCTCGGAGCTGCTTTGTCTTCCTGAGACGCGACGAGAGGGCAACCCACACGAGGGCAACCCACACGAGGGCAACCCACACGAGGGCAACCCACACGAGGGTGGCCCCACACGAGGGTGGCCCCACACGAGGGTGGCCCCACACGAGGGTGGCCCCACGCACACCCCTCGTGGTGGTGAGAGCGGCTCTCATTGCGAGGCCACCCCCAACAAGTCACGATTTGAACTCGCAACCTTCCCCCAATGTCTCGCGGTGCTGGTGGTGGTGGCGATGCTGCTGCTGTTGCATTGGCAGTAGTGGCACAAGCAGACAATCACGAAATAACAACTCAACACATACTCTTTGGTTTTTTTTTGGGTAAAGTCACGTCGGATAAAATGTTTATTTAATTTTTTTCAGTAAAGCCACGCAGGGAATTTATTTAGTTATTTTTACATTAATTTATTTACATTTTTTCGGTAGTCACGTAGGTAAAAAATTAAAAATAAATTTCGGTAAAGTCACGTAGGTAAAAAAATAACAATTTCGGTAAAGTTAAGTAGATAAAAATTAATTTATTTACATTTTTTACCTACGTGACTTTACCGAAAAAAAACAAAGAGTATGAATCCTTGCAGTCACGAACACTTCAAATCTAGAAACAACTCAACACGTTCGTCAATAACGCTGTGGCCTTAAAAGGGAAAATATATACACACGAGGCGACGTTTCGGGCAATGCCCCTTTTTCAAATTACGAAAATAAAATATCTAGTAGACGACGTTTCGCGTCATGGCCCTTAATGTAAATGTCTTCTTCATAAGGCGACATTTCGCACAATGACCCTTCTTTAATAAGGGTCGTTGCCAAAAGCGTCGGATTACATGTTCCCGAATGCCAGTGTCATTGGCGAATGTGTTGATGGTTTTCTGTTTATTCTTTGTACAGGACGCCGTTTGTTGTAATCGAGGTGGTTCCATTTAACACATAAAATAAAACAATCGTTGGGCTGCTGGCATTCCTGAACAAGTGGTGGAAATTCCACGTTCACATGGCAGGGGGCAGTCCATCCATTGGATCGCTCCTCTTGACTTTCGAGTGGCGTTCCTAATTTTATCGACCTTAAGGGTTGATGGGGTGAGTGAATCTCATACCTTGTAAACATGCAGCCGTGTAAAATTTTGCACCGATGGAACGTATGTTTCCCCTTAGCGGGTAATGAATGTAACTTAATGACATCTACAAATGTTAACGTATGTTAACATTTAACTGTCGAGTAATGCATTTAAATCACGTGACTCTCGTACTGTAACAGCCCCGACTCATCACTTTTTAACGAGGCTTACTGTGAAGCGTATTAAAAAAAATCCCAACACATACTTGTCGATTATTATAGTTATTAATCCAACTCCGTCTTACGATACAAACAAAAATCCGAATTAGTGTTTCATGTTCTGAGGGGAAACCCAACCCAAGCTCACCCGCATCGCGAACATGTGGCCCTGCGATCCGGCGGCTCTGCCGGCAACTCCGCCAGCTGCCCGAACACCGTCGAGGCTCCCTCCTCGTCATCCTCCTCGCTGCCCCCCACCTCGTTGCCTCTCGAGTCGTTCTCCTCCTCCTCTTCTTCTCTCCCGGCAAAGCTGAGGCCGCCGAATCCGCTCACCACATCGCTCAGCCGGCAGCCATCGGCCATGACGCCCGTTGCTTTCCCGCCAAATTGAAACCCGCGCCGCCATCTTAGGTGAGGTCACTCACCCCGCTTCCCCCCTCACCTCCATAATAGGATTGGGGGGGGGGGGCTGTGTGACGTCACGCGTCCCATTGAAAAGCCGATTGGCCCTCCTTGCCCAACATGGCGGCCTGGAGGCTGCGTGGCGACATCGCGTCAAGTTGGTGGTGAAAGTCTCAAGTTCATTTCTTTTTTTCGATTTAAAGCTTTCGTGACTGCAGGGATTCATCTTCTTGGTTCTTTCGGTAAAGTAAAATATTTTATTTTATTATGTTTTATTTTTATTATTTTATTACTTTCCTTCTACGTGACTTTACCGAAAGAACCAAGAAGATTCATTTCTTTTATTTCGTCGGGTGAGAATCAAACTCCAGAGACCAGGACCGCAGGACGGGTCCTTTGCAAGAGTCGCTTAGGTCACCCGCAATGACAACAACAACAACAAAAGCCGAATGAAATACACGGAGCAAACCCCGATTAGCACGGTTGGCTACGTACGGTGCGAAAGAAGTTCACACACAGTTACAGCAATGAGGCAAAAATAGAAAATGTGCAAAAAAAATTGCGAATAAGAGAAAATACGTAGGGTTCACGACCAATTTGATTAATAAATAGTTGTGTTTGTTTTAGATCGATGTGTTCACTAAACCCCAACCCATCCACCACCCGACAAGGCCAATCGAATGAAGTCAAGTGGACAAATATGCCAATTGATTTGTTTCTACCAGAATCCAGAAGGAATCTTCAAAAGCAAGCAACGTTTTGGCAACCCTGTACGACGTTTCGCTTGAGATTGCACTCAGCATCATCAGGCGTTGTGTGGAGATGACTCCGCTGTCAAACCCATACGGTTTACCCCGTATTCTTGTACAGGGAGATTGGTTTTAAATTCCATATGGCGTACTGCTGTTTCAATGTTTGTGTTTCTGCCTTGTGATGGGACTTTGTAGGATAAACATTGAGATTCTTAAGCGCACATGGGCTGACCAATAAGGTCTGAATTGGTCTGTGATAACGCGTGTGAGTGGGGGGGCAACACTGCCCCGTACAGATGGAAACAGATGGAGATTAGTTCCCCGCTTGCTGTACCGACTTGGGGGAGCCAGGGAATGGTGCAATGGGGCTTAACACGAAGCGGGCTTTCGCTACCAATATCCATGAGGTTTCTGTTTGGGTTAAATCGCGTAAATGTGTCGTTAAACCCACCACCACCCGACACAGCTAACGAGTAAGGTTTGTCACGTCCGTTACTAGTTCATCACAATGGTGTGTTTGAGAGGAAACCGACAACATTTACAATTCGAGTCCGACGTTTCGCCAGTAATTACAACCAGCATAATCAGACAGTTAACGTTAAGGGAGTTTCACAGCCTGTGTGTGGATCCATTAGACCAGGGGTGTCCAAACTTTTTGCAAAGAGGGCCACATTTGATAAAGTGAAGATGCCCGGGGGCCAATAGTTCCTTCTGACATTTTTTTAACCACAAAAGTTGCGTGGAAATACACACTGTTATAAAACATTTTCATTGTCACAATTACCTTCATTTTTCAAATGACAATGTAACCAAATATAAGCCACTCAGGCAGACGTAAACAACTCTAAAAACGCAATTCTGCCTTTCATTCAATCAGATAACATTGAACAAACTGTATAGAATACCTTAAATTTCCATGAGTTTTATGATGTATTTATTTTTCGATTTAAAGCTTTCGTGACTGCAGGGATTCATCTTCTTGGTTCTTTCGGTAAAGTCACGTAGAAGGGAAGTAATAAAATAGTTAGTTTTTTACGTGTTGTTTAGTAACTGCAGCTACATACTATTAACATTCCTTCCCTTTGTTAATGCGATCCCCATCCCCTCCCTTTGATGCTGCTAATCCTGCATAATGCACGGGCATAATATGACTTTGAAACCCCCCGCCCACCTCCTACGCATTTCCCATAAATATGCTAAATTCCTCTTGATATGCAAATTATTTTGTCAAGGCGCTCTTCTTCGCCCCTCCAACCCAGCTTAAATATACGCTCCAAGCTTGGTGGTGTTTCATTCTTCACCTGAGGACGGCTGCTTGCGTTGTGGCCGAAACGTCTTGAGAATTATTTTATTGTTTTATTTTTATTATTTTATTACTTCCCTTCTACGTGACTTTACCGAAAGAACCAAGAAGATGTATTTATTCTGACAGAGCTGGCGAGCCATAAATAACACATTATAAGACCGAAGCTGCGGGCCGTATGAAATCTGCCCGCGGGCCGTGATTGGCCCGCGGGCCGGACTTTGGACATACCTGCATTAGACCATCCTTGTGCATCCACAATGCTGGATTAGAGGCCCACATGCCATCCACCAAGGCTTGGTTTAAATGGTCTGAATAAAATTCATACTGGAATGCAATTTATCCAGAAAGGCCTCATCGAGTTTCAAGACCCAGAAGGGTTCTGTATTGGTTTTTGCGTGGCCAATTCCACTAATGAGTTTGTTTTGCCCAAATCCTTATTTTGCCTGGCAATGGTTAAGGCTTGAATGCTTAATACTTAGGGCTATCTTGGAATGAACACCATTAGTAATAGCTATTTGGCAGAAACCCAATAACAGATGTAGTTAAATATGTATTTACAGCTCATTGTCAATACACTTCAGGATGAAAGCCTCCGATGATCTGGAGGTCATTTCGGTTGCTTGACCATACTTCACCACACTGGTAAGTATGTATGTTGAACTTTTTTTGCACCGTACGTAGCCTACCATGCCAATCGGAGGTGCGGTGTAAGGACGAGGCACAAAAAACAATGAAAGAAATCAGTTTTCAATCTGGATTTTAAAAGTTCCGGTTAGTGATGGGTTGTCGGCAGTGGAACCAGTTTTAGTTAAAAAGTTGTGACAATAGTAATCGGTGGGTTTTTTTTTCAGGCCAAATCATCAAGCTGTGGCCTGTGAATCGCTGCTGTGTTGTCTGGAGGTGTAGGCAAGAGCCATTAGCAGTGGAGTTAATCACAATGCATTGCTAAAGTGTGGAATAAATGGGCACCCACTTATTCCTGAAAAGTAACAGGTAATGAATGCAACATGTGTGTGTATATAGCCCATAGAGCATTACAAACACATGCCTGCGGAGGGAGCTGGTAGGAACGTTGGGTTGCTCGGTCAATGGCCAGGGTCAACGGCGGCGTGGTGTATTCCGCAAATATGGCCGACTGTGAGGGCGGGCACAAGCCGGCGTGAGTAGGTTAAACGTTGAGTTTTATAAGGGCACCACGGGGTGACCAGCCCCTCCCCACCCAGCCCCACCCCTCCCACCCCCCACCCAGCCCCACCCTCCCCACCCAGCCCCTCCCCACCCAGTCCCACCCCCCACCCAGTCCCACCCTCCACACCCAGCCCCTCCCCTCCCTCCCCACCCAGCCCCTCCCCTCCCTCCCCACCCAGCCCCTCCCCACCCAGCCCCTCCCACCCCCCACCCAGCCCCTCCCCACCCTCCCCACCCAGCCCCTCCCTACCCTCCCATTTTTGGATGCACGACGGACGGACGGACACAATAATCCCCACAACTAAGCCCATATCATGCAATGCCGCTGAGAATAGTGCTGACCAACAAAGTGCCACGTTTGATTCCGATCTCTTTCTCCGTTCAGTTTAATTTTCTCAGTATTTGTTTTTTTTCACGCCACTTGTGGGAGACGGCCCAACATTCGCGGGCGTCCGTTCCCCATCCACGACACCCAATCTCGCACTGCCATCACCTCGCCGTTCACTCAGCGTGGCCACCACCGTCAACAAGCAGCTGGCGGAGCCCCCCCCCCCCCCCCCCCCCACGTTTCCGCGTCTTCAATTCATTTTTAGCACCCAACTTGAAATTTCGCGGAGAAAGCTGCAAACCTTTTACATGGGATTAATCATTATTCATTTAACGTGCCTTGATTATACAAGGTCTCCGACATCCAATTCGCCGGGCCGGCAATGCTTTCCTGGGTCGCCGAATACGTCCCGCGGTGTCACCTGGCGAGAGGTGGGATAGGATCAGGACGTGGCCGTGCGCGCTGTGCAAACGAGGCCCGTGCGGCCGACAGCGACCGTCTCCCTTGCCCTTCGAGGCTGCCCTCCGAGGTCACGCAGGACAAGGACAGATGCAATTGGCCACCGATCAATTCTACCCGGGCGACGAATTTAAAGCTCATTAACGGCACGGATCAAAGGGCAGCCAAGGTGGGGGGGGGGGGGGGGGTTTGGGGTAACCCCCCCACCCTGCGCTCTGATCCACAGTCCCCACCGCCGATGGGCACCGGGAACACACACGCACACTGCAGAGCGCTGCGTGTAGGCCACGTGCGTCGCTCGCAACAGCTAACCATGTACTTCGGCACGCTGATACTATTATCTCCAGAGGGCTGCGTACATGCCCTCTGGAAGGAGGCATTGTGGCTGCGGGAAATGTGTTTTTATTTTACTTTCCATGCAAAATTGGCACCACATTGCTGACTAGCAATGTCCAGCCCACGACCTCAAATGCCTAAAGCTAGTGGACAGACTGGGCTTAACTAGGATATAGAGACATGGTCACTTGATGGACCTCTGGGATACCCTAACGGGAAGGCGTGTAATGATTTCTTCCCCCAGTGATATGATGAATTGTCACAATTCGATTCAAGAATCAATTCTTTTTGTCTCGTATTTACATTTTGATTAGTTTCCTTTTCTATTTTCCATCTCATGTATAGGGTGTTGTCTGCGGCATTATCGTAAATATAACAGGAGTATGTCATTTAAAAAAAATCAATGCACTGTTAAATTCCTACTACAGTACTAAGTAATGAAGGGTGATTTTAATTGTTGAAAAAATGCAACCGAGACCCTACAGATTAATGTTTTAAATGGCATTTGCGTAATTAAATATTGGCTGTACTTAAACGTGTGGCCTGTTAAATAATAAACTAGTGGTGAACATGCTCCCCGGCAAGCCTCGCCGAGTCTTAAAGGCTGTTACAAGGATCCTGCATTAGGATCTTTG